AGGCAAAACCAGGAGCCGCTGCTGCCGTTGCAAAGCGCCGCCGCAGCTCTTCCTTTTTGCCTTTCCCTTCCTGAGGCAACGCGGGACTGGAGCCACGCAGAGCCGCGCCAGCGGTAGCAACTCCTGACTCGGGGCCTCCGAGGGGAGGGGAAGGAAAAGAAGAAGGGGGGGAAAGGGGGGGCGATTCCCAAAAAAATCGGAATTCCGATTTTAATCGGAAGAATATCATGTCTGCAAGAAGGCTCCACACCCATTTGCACCACTCAAGTGACCCTGAGGACACAGATAAACCTCCAATGGCTCTTTAATAGGATGCAAATGACCAGCTGTCTGCAAGGAGAATACTTCTTCCGTTCTCCACTGTCCAGTCGGAGATGAAGAAGCTTCTTGGATGAGAAGCAAAATGTCTCGAAAGAAAAACAAAGGAAGCCTGGTTGCCTCTTGAAAAAAAAAACCCCAACCGTGACCTGGCTCTGACTGAGAATCTCCGTAGACGTTTAAGCGCCAGGAATGCCCTCCCTCCACCAATACCCTGGCTGGGCTTACCGCTGCCCACCATGCCCATGGCGAAGATAGAGTTGTATGACACCTCGGGGTCAGCATCGTGGGAAAACTTGCTGAGAGTGTCAAGGATGTTGAGGCGAGGGTTGGACACAGAGATGAGAGCCAGAGCTAATGGAACAGCTCGTCGAAGAGTCGGTTCCCCATATCGTAGCTGGGAGAAAAAAAGAGGACCATTAAAGCATCAGGGTCTTTTGCTGCAGACCACTGTGGTCTCTAATCCTACCGTAGCAACACACCCTGGACAAAAATAAGCTCTTTGTTCACAAGTGTGCAGGTAAGAACAAAAACTGAAATGTCCCCAGAGACCATCTGCCACTTAGCGGAGTAACGGGAAGTCATTACATTCAACCAAAGAGGCTTTGTCAAAAGGCAACTGGGTTTTAGTTCTGAACTGAAGACGCTCCTTGGATGAGAAGCGAAACGTCCTTGAGGAAAAACAAAAGAAAGCCCAGTTGCCTTTTGAAAAATCACCTTTGGGGCAACCATGACCTGGATGACTGAGAATCTCCAAAGGCACTTAACTAAATTCACATTTCTTGCAGAATGTTGTAACTTTGAATGGTCACTAAATGAACTGTTGTAAGTTGAGGGCTACCTGTACACGGGGCTCAAGGCTGTTAAGATATACAGTACATCTCTTAATTAGTATGTGTTGTGGTTAGCCGGCAGCAAGTGCGGACGGCTGAGGAGAGCGAGGACTCAGATGAGGGGCAGGACCATTAGGGAGTGGACTGCTGCCTTCAGAGATTGTGGGGGCTGGCAGCAGCGATGAGGAGGTTCCCGAGGAGCCTGTGCCAAGTGTGTGTGCGCACAAGGTTGCTCGCAGGAAAGAGCAGCTGCAGCAGCACGGGCGTCTCAGGAGTTAGGGTTCAAGATAATGGCCCCTCCTTCAAGAAGATAAAAGGCAGCTATGAATCAGACGTTCTTTGTAGGAAGCAAAGACGTTTTGAAACTCGAGCCTCATGGACATTGCAGTATCTTAGTTGGTATTTGAAGACTCTTGTGTTGTGTTGTAAAATATTTCTTATCTGAGATCCTTGGCAGCCTCGCACAGTTTTGGCAAGGCTCGTGGTTATCAAAGTTAGTTAGTTTGCAGCAGCCTTTTAACCGGGGATTCGTAAGGATCATTAAAAGGTTTCTATTCCCTTTGGTTCGTGTTTGTTTTATTGGAAAAGGGTTTGGGTCAGAACAGTATGATGAAAAACGTTTATAGAAACTATACTTCGCACAAATGGTTGAAAGTTGAAGTCTACCTGTTATCTTTTATTGCCCCCTTCCCCACGTTCCGGGTGTCTTCAGCCTCCTACTCACCAGGTGACCAAAGGTACGTAGAGCCATCTCTGCCCCGATCTCCTCACCCATAGCGATGAGCGCAATGCCCAGCACCGCCACACCCTGCAGCAGGAGAGACCTCATGTGAAACCACAGGACACCTCGTAACATCGCTAAATATAGGAATTTTTTTATTTTTAACTGGACGATAAATGTGCTGGCCCAGCTGCTCAAGGCAAGGCCAAAAAAAGCTTCAAATCAGGTTATCTTGCAAAAGGAGAATGGGAAGAGAAGCAGGTTTACTGAATTGGGTGTAAGGAAACACTCAACTTGCTGAGAATCCATGACATCCCTCAGTTTTAACCAGGATTCTGTTTATTACGTAACTCCAACGCACAAGTGTCGAATTTGGGAATAGGGCGCAATTTCTGCTTCTCACAGTCTGATGGGTAAAGCCAAATGAATTTTAGCTGCTTTGGGCAAGCGGGTTGCAGAGGGTTTCTACCGACACCTGAATGAGGTTTCAGGGCCTCATTTGTCTCTCTGCTCTCCTGGTAACCAGCAGAAAAAGAAACTATGAATGGAAGACAAGACAAAAACCAGTAATTGAACAGTACCACTCCATTTTCCCTATTATTTTGGAATGCTGTACACATTTTGGCTTATGGATTAAAAATCAGAAGACAGCAATTAAGTGTTTGTGCTGTTAACTAAACACCACCTCACCTGTTCAGCGTCTATTTCGGCTGTTAACTTATCTCAAAATACAAAGTACAAGAAATGGACAGAACTCCTTACCTGGTGAGCTCCCATGTCAGCCGAATTATCTTTCTTCTCTTTGTCCTTCTTCTCCTTCTTCTCTTTTTCCTCCTCCTTCTCTTTGGAGTCAAAATGCTCACTGCAGATATGAAGAAGCTGCTGAACCTTCAACACATTCCCAGATCCTGCGGGGACACCACAAACTTGTGACCGAATTCACATAGCATGCGTCAACAGCATTATGTTTTCTGGGTTTCCCGTTGCGTGCTCTGCTAAGGAAAAAAACCCTAGCAAAATGAACGTGCTGTGCAAATGCAGGTGTTAGATCTTCCTCCCCGAGTTCGCCGTGTGTTGTGTGAATGCAAACCAGGAATAAAAAGGACGGGAATCTCCCAACATCCCATTCCCAAACCAGGCTGACCTGCGTAGGCGCAGATGTCCACGAGGGTGTTGGCAAAGCTACGGAAAGGCTCAGACACAACCTGCAGGGCAGCCAGGATTGCTTCAATGGCCTCACCCTTTCCTGTAAAATATGGGTGCAAAAATACGTCAGCATGTATTCAAGTGACTGATGTTACATCAAGACGTTCTGAAAAGAACTTCTACATCCATTGCCCAGGTCCATCCAGGTAGTCCTCAACGTACGACCACAATGGAGCCTGAACTTTTCATTGCAGTTTTTTTGGTGAGCTTTGCACCATTTGGGGGGCCCTTTTCTGCCATGGTTGTTAAGCAAAACACTACAGTCGTTAAGCGAATTGTGCAGTCGTTAAGCAAATCTGGCTCCCCCCACTGATTTGGCTTCTTGTCAGAAGCTCCCTAAGAAGTTTGTGAATGAGAATCCCAGGGTGCTGTAACTGTTGTGTGTGTTGAGGTAATTCCCCGTTAGGAGAATGAGAGCATACAGGGAGACGTATTTGAGAGGAGTGTTTGAATAATACACACAGAGCACACAGATACACTGTACAGTAAATGTAGGTTTTTACTTCCAGAAAGGTTTAAGCAAAGTCCAAAATAAGCAATCCAAAGTCATTCACAGGTAAATCAGTCAGTTTTCATCCAGGGATAATCCAAATATCAAATTCCAGTGTCAAAAACAGTTCAGTATCAGACTTACATTAAATCCAGTAATATCAGACAATTAGAAGAAATGGAGCAACGGCAATACTTTCCAACAGAAGGAAACAGAGATACTCACTCAGACACACTCTCTTCTGAGACTAAGACCAAACAACCCGTGTTTCTGGCTCCATCTTATGGCCGTTTGAGAAACCACACCTAATTACAGTTTTGCATTTTCTTAAAGATACAGTTTTAAAATGTTTATCCTGGTTTATATATTTCTAACCCAAATAGCTGTTAGGTGACTCATATTCCTAACAGTGTGTACACACAGTTTGGCAAAGTTTGATCGCAAGGCTGTGGGATGGTGCAACGGTCGTAAATGGGACAACAGATTGTTAAGTCGCAATTACTGTTGTAACTTTGAATGGTCATTAAACGAATGGTTGTAAGTCGAGGACTACCTGTCCTGAAAATACAGGCTTCGGATGACATAATCTGATGCTGTGTGATAACATAACTGAACTGGTGACAACCCCCCCGCCCAATTTTCTTTATTTTCATATTGATCTTTCTGATAGACTATTCTATCTATCTATCTATCTATCTATCTATCTATCTATCTATCTATCTATCTATCATCTACCTACCTACCTACCTACCTACCTATCTTTCTCTCTCTCTCTCTCTCTGTCCCTGTCTCTCTCTGTGTCTCTGTCTGTCTCTTTGATTCTCTCCCTCCCACTCTGATCCTGATTTCCTGTTCCCTATGCTTGGAAAAAGAACAGATTCTTCGTCTAAAGTCACCAATTTCAAAGATCCGGTTCTAAGCACACCTGTTCGTGCTTCAAAGAACTGTGGGAAGCAGGTCACAATGTCTCTGCTTTATTTTTATTTTTTTTTGCTACCTGTGGATCGAGCCCGTATACAAAAACTCTTGTTTTTGTTTTATAAGTCCATCAAGGAACTGAGGATAGGAACTAAAGAGCACGGGGCATACTTGCAAACGAGAAACGAGAGCGTCCCTCTGAAATAGCTCACTGATACTCCTGATCCCAAGCGAAGTGCTGTGTCTTAATGCAGGTGTGTGTGATGAAAAGGATGCAAAGCTGCTGGAACAAGACAGCTAAAAGGCCCCTTACATTGGGACAAGATTGGTTGTGGGTATTTGGCTCCTCTCCCCCCGCCCCCACAAAACAGCTCCAGGAAAGAAGAGAAGGAGAATGTCTGAAAGCATTTCAGAAAAGTTTAAAAAAAAAAAAGAAACTACATTGGGCAGCAGAATATTTAAAATTACTGGGTAGGAGCTCATAAATAACCCTAAAACAAAATTAATCACAAACACTCTTTCGGAAGGCCCTGAAAACATGGCTCTGCCAGCAGGCTTGGTGAACCCAGAGCAAGAGGGAGCTCATTAAATGGCTGTGGAATGAAGGTATGTGGTCGCTGGGGTAGTGAGGTGCGGTGGGGTTATTATTTTAATTTTTTTAAAAAAATATTATTATTTCTTTTATATGGTGTTTTTATGTCCTGTAAGCCGCCTTGAGTCACCGTGTGCAAGTAGGCAGCAATATAAATTTCCCAAATAATGTAAATATAAATTAATTGACAAAGAAGCTCTATGTTGGACAATACAGGTAGTCCTTGACTTACAACAATTTGTTTAGTGACCGTTTGAAGTTACATTGGTACTAGGGGGGAAAAATGACTTATACCCAGTTTTCACAATTATGACCTTTGCAGCATCCCAACAGTCACATGATCAAAATTCGGGCGCTTTTGCAACTGGCATGCATTGAAGACAGTTGCAGTGTCCTGGAGTCATGTGCCATGGTGGTGGCGCAGTGATTAGAGTGTAGTGCTGCCGGCTGCTTCTGCTGACTGCCGGCTGCCTGCAATTTGGCAGTTCGAATCTCACCGGGCTCAAGGTTGACTCAGCCTTCCGTCCTTCCGAGGTGGGTAAAAGGAGGACAACCCAGATGGTTGGGGGCAAATAGGCTGACTCTGTAAACCGCTTAGAGGGGGCTGGAAAGTACTGTGAAGCGGTATGTAAGTCCTATTGCTATTTGTACCCTTGTCAGCTGGCTTGTGTTAAGCAAAGTCAATGGCAGAAGCGAGATTCGCTTAACGCCCACATAATTCAACTGCGGTGATTCGCTTAAGAACTATGGAAAAAGGACGCATGTCAACTCATAAAACATATTGTACACAGGTTTTATAGTTGTCAACAGAAAGAAAGGGGGGAGTTTCAAAGAGCAGGCAGCAGTGTGGAATCGAAAGTACATTCCATTCATATTTTCTTCAAAGACTGATTAGATGACTGAAGCTTCTGCCGAGAATGAATCTAATTGGAGAGCATGATTGATGACTCTTGGCTATGGACGTGTTTCGTTGGATGATACACCCAGAGGGGTGGGGGTGTGGGAAGCAGGATCAAGGGTGACAGTGAATTACGTATCTCAGAGTCGGCTACGCCCAGGCAAATTACGGCATGTTAACTTCTAATAAATCCGAAGAAGTTTTGGGGGTGTGGCTCGAGGCTCATGATTTAATTGGAGTAACTGCCGGAATCCTGACAACGCAAACATGGAATAAAACTCACACAACGACTGCCTTGCTAAGCAATGGAAATTTTGGGCTCTAATGCGGTCGTAAGATGATGACTACCTGAACAGTTGTCTTTTCAATTTCTTTCCAACATAAAATTCAGAAACGATGCTCTTGATTCAAAGTGGGAATGGGGAGAAGTAGCAGCCCGTTCAGGGGCAATTGTGATGCACAGGTAGTCCTCGACTTACAACAGTTCATTTAGTGACCGTTCAAAAAGTTACAATGGCACTGAAAAATAGCAACTTAGGACCGTTTTTCACACTTGCGACCATTGCAGCACCCCCCCATGGTCACATGACCAAAATTCAGATGCTTGGCAACTGGTTCATATGTATGACGGTCACAGTGCCCTGAGGTCACGTGATCAGCTTTTGCAACCTCCTGACAAGCAAAGTCAACGGGGAATCCAAATTCACTTCACAACCGGGTTACAAACTTAACCAGTGCAATGATTCATTTAAGACCGGCGGCAAGGAAAGTCATAAAATGGAGCAAAATCCACTTAACAAATGTTTCATTCAGCTTAACATAAATTTTGGGCTCCACTGTGGTCGTAACTCAAGGACTACCTGTACCTATAATTAGCATTCAAGGGCAATTCTACCGCTTCTCTCTTCTACAGGCCTTTTCTGACACCCAGGGACCGACCGTCCTAGAGAATTCTTACCCAGATGGTTCAGGCCCAGGCCAAGAGGCAGCCACCTGGCGTAGGTGTCCTTCAGCTCTGTCTCGGACTTCTCCATAATAGTTTGGAGGATGGTGGAGGTGACATCTCCGTTGCAGGAGCCCACTGCGATGATTCCGCAAGCCAGGGCTGTCACACCAGCCACCTGGGGAAAGAATAGAACAGAATAGCAGAGTTGGAAGGGACCTTGGAGGTCTTCTAGTCCAACCCCCTGCTTAGGCAGGAAACCTTATACCATTTCAGACAAATGGTGGTCCAGTCTCTTCTTAAAAATTTCCAGCGGGAAGTTTTTTGCAAAGAGAGTGTGTGTCCGGTTCTCACCATCACCTTCGTAAGCTCTTAGAAGAAACCGCAGAGATGGGGGAGGGGGGGGGAAGTTATCAGGCAGTCTTTCAAGAAAAAGCTATTGTCAAGTCTGAAGCTGGCCTGACTGAGGCCATATTGGAGGCTTCAGCATTGCCACAATTGAGATGAGGGCTAGGGAATGGGGAATAGAAATAGCTGGGGGGGTTGTAGCCAAAACAACGTACTTTCCCCTGGGAACCAAGGACATTCCAACAGGTGGCTGAACAGAGGCAGAGTGACGTTACCAGGCAACTGGACAGCACCCTGACTGGACCACGTGACTGTTTGGGAAAAGGAGAAAACTTTCACTTTTAATTAGGTGAAAACTGTGGGAACGTCTGGAATAGGTTTTCACCAGTCTTTACCAATATGATCTATCCAATAAAACTGTTCTTTGAGGAATCTACCTGCCTCGGAGTTCTGTTCGCTATGGGTGTATTACTTGGAACCCTGACAGCTATTTCTTGCAAGCTAGAGCAAGGGTCTCCAAACTTGAAGACTTGTGGACTTTCAGCTCCCAGAATTGCTCAGGGAAACGCCGGCTTGGGAATCCTAGGAGTTGAAGTCCACACGTTTTGCAATCCATTGCCCTCAGAAAGTTTTGTGAAAAAGTCCCTCCTAGGTGGAGGTCAAGGATCTCCAGTTCCATATCCTCGCTCCATTCCCATCACAGAACTCTCAGCCAATCTTTAGGGTTTCTTCTCTCTCACCTCCATGCTGGATTTGGAATCCCCCATAACAGGAAGCAGCAAGGTCAGGACATCTTCTCGGTTGGATCCTGCGTAGGCCAGTCCCAGCCTGCCAAGAGAGCACAACATGGTTTGAAGGATA